TTTGTAATTTGGATAACGGTACACCGCTGCCAGAATCGCGGAAGGCATTTGTCAGCCGCGGCTAGAGTCGCAGCTTTGAGGTGAACACATGCACACACATGTGTACATACATACGTATACCGCAATCAACCTAACATTTTGCCAAAAGTCGTCAGCTTTTTCATGACTTTTTGCGATCAGTGAGGTATTAATCGAACGTTGCGCACTGCCCCGTTCCCATCAATCGTGTTAACGCTAAAGCTCGCGAGAGAATCGTTCAACGATCTGATTATGGGAATTATTGTATAATACATCGACCTCGATCACATGAAATCGCGTGATAAAAAAATTACAAAAGGATATAGGATTATAATTGAATCTTAATTTGAGGCCTGTTGTACTGTCATGGGAAAATGATCGTGGCAGAGACATGTGATTTTTGTATTATATTTCTCATTAATATATTGACAATGATTTTGGCAATCAATTAGCGCCCGGCAATCATTCATCAGTCTTTACGGTAACTTCTTTTTTTATCGTATCCGAATACATGATCTGTTAATTATTCGTCGCTACGATAATTAAAATTGATTCCTCGATGCGTATCGGCGGAGCGAAGCAGTTGTTTGGTACATTTGCATAATGGAAAAGTGTCGGAACAATAAAATTCCACATTCCATTAAGCTCCATGTGTGTGAGTGCCGTTAGTAGCGCGGTGGTGATTCGGCATTTAGTTATTTTCAATCTGGAGAGACGTATGCGCGTGCGTGCTTGCCGTCGTCCAAGAGCATAAAAATATTAACGAGAGTGCTCTCACGAAGCGCCCCGTCATCCTCGCAAATCTTCGCGTTGGCAAGACTGTAGACCACGTTCTCGCGCATATATAAGTCATCTTCTTGGGCCTCCTTTACTCGACTCGGCTAGCTTTCCTCTTTCCTCTCTTCCGGGGACGAATAAAACCGGGTGGCTGATCACGAAGAGGCTCTCGACCGATAATGATTAATTAAAATAGCTGCAGCAACTCCTATACGATGAGCGATGTTCGCCCGGTGGACGGTTATGTTCTCCAATTATCGCGGGAATTAACTCTCTCGAACGAGGATGACAGCTTCCAGAAAGATATTATTCAGTTTTCACGCGCGGGCTCGAACATTTTCACGTAAAGCGCAGAGAGAATTCTCGTCGTGAGCGTAATTTGGTGAATCTATCGGGCCGTTTCGAGAGAGTTGTACGTGCGGAGGAAGGCTGGTACGGGCGGCTGCGTGACCGTCGCGGTCGCCGCGGGTTGA